GGTAAACTGTCACGCACATTAATAATTGTTATGCAATCTCTCAGGCAGGAAAATTTTTCTATTTGTCATCTCATGTGTTATGCATTAATGTGAAAACGTCTTCACGAAATAACAAATTAATAATGCAGATGTTAGAACAATATTTTTGAACGTCTGGATCGATAGTTTTTGCAGTTTAAATTTTCAAACGCATTCGGTCTTTAAAAACAATATTAATTGTTTGACTTTTCATCAATTGACGAAATCTGTATTGTTTTCTGTAAACCACAGAGGAATTTTGAAAATATAATTTGAAAATAGTTGCGAATGTTGATCAAATGAAATCATTTAGGTATATAATTATTAAAACAGACTTTTTTCCCCTTTCGAGTCTTCAGATCTTTGGACAAGGTGTTCTCATTTCAGTATCAGGGGCATTGATACTTCATTTGAATTCATATTCATTGTATATTTGAGCATTGTAGTGATTCCTTATCGGTCATGGCTGTCTCATGGTGAGACATTGCTTTTCTGATAAGATATGAACAGCCTTTCTCGAACCTTCCACACTAAAAAAGTGAAGGGCTTTTTTGATAAAGTAAATGTAAATCAAACCTTGTATGACGACACTTCTTTTGAAAACCGTGCTAACTTACATATTCAAATTACGTTGTATTTTTCCAACGTAAATAAATCTTATATCGTCAAAATACCCAGTCACTCTTGTACAAGATATTACATAAATAATTACTTCTTACAAATGTCAGTCTACGAAATTCGACCTCCTTAAGATATTGATGTGCTACAGCTTAACAGAGAACAGCCCTACCACGAAAGCGTGAATCAAACAGATTTAAGAGAAAACAAGTTCGCTGTTTATGATGTGTCCGTGCAACCCGCATAACTCTGTAATTAAACATCGCATAACTGCATCAAAAAAAAATTCTTACGCTTAAAACGAGATTTTGTGACGTATCTGGCGGATAATAATATCTAATGTATGTTTATAATTCATCACATTATTGAAATTGAACACGGTAAAAGAAACTCGACATGTAATTATTGAATAATAACATTTGTTCTGTTAATTCGCAACATAAAACCCGTCTCTTTAGCCCTTCTTGGGCATGGAGCATATTTGGTTAATCCTCCGTCAAGTTTTTACCTCGTTACGTCGCAGTCAGTCAGTGCCTTTTATTCGGCTAGGGGCTCGATACCGTTACAAACCGGGTCACCCGTCCAGGAATCCGTGGTGTTTGAGTTACATAACTTCCATGACTTAACGACACAGAGTTAAGCAATTCAGCTAATGATACCGGATGAATTTGTACTTAATTGAACTCAAAAACCCCTAGGAAAGTTTGTACAACAAAACAGACACATTTAAAAAATACGATTTTAATGCATCTATAAAAAATTAAATTGAAGGAGCTCACTAGTAAAAAAATCCCTATAAACATAAATACTGTTCATAAGAAATTATGTTATTTAAATAACATTTGTTGGTTGATTAATTAGTGATTTCGGGCTCGTCAACTGCTAAGGGTATTAGTCCCGTATGCGTAGTGCATGTTTGAAACGCGGGAGGTGATCTTCCCCTGGCAGGCGATCGGCGCTGACCTACGACGGTTTGCCCAACCGGTGATTTTCGCCAACCTGTTATCTGCCATTAGCGAGGTACCCCCCCCCTCAACCGGGTGAAGCTCTAAACTCCCAATTGGTCTCCCGGAATGTGTGGTAGTGTAGTGAGTATAAATGTGTGTAAGTAAATGCTTTGGACAGAACATGGAAGAGGAAGGAATGATCGCATGCGGTCCGTTTGTTAGGGTGCGTTCGACATATGCCTCGTATTGATCAGAGAAAGCCCGGAAAACTACCTATCAGAGCATCCTGCCGCTGGAATTCGACCTAGCTCTCAAATCAAGTGTCGAAATTCCTACACCGTTGGAACTCGAACCTTAGGACCTCCCGCTCAGAAGCACGGAAGTGACACCAAGTTATGCCCTGAGCCCTTTGCCGGTTAAATAACGTTTGTGATACATCTGGCTGAGAAGTAAGAATAATTATCTTGATTTTAGAATATCTCGTGTCGATTGCATTACTAGCTATCAATTCATCAATTCCTAGATAAAATTATTCGCCGAGTTAAATGTCTTAAACACCGAAATGTCAAAACGTGAAAAAATGTTTACGCGTATTAAAGTCATTAATACGTCATAGCATAAAGTCATTAATTTGCACCAATGCATATTTAGTGAAATATTATATCGCTTTAGTGTGAAATTATAGAATAGAAAACTATCAACGCGTTTCCTTTGTGGAAAGTAGCACGTTCTGGAAGAAAGTCCCTCTTTCTTCCTCTCTTCTCTTACACGTCGTGTGCAATGCTCTTCCTGTCAGTTATTTCGCAAACGTCGTTGTGAATACGAGTGGTGTGTGGGGGTCTAGAGAGATAGTTACTATAAGTGTTGTTACTGCTGCAACAATTAATCTCGCGCAAGGAAGTAAGAATCTTTACCGTTTTAAGAGATAATATATTCTGAAAAATTCCTGATCTTTTATTTCTGCAATACATACCAGTAAGTAAAATAATCCTAAGCCGTTATCGTTACAACACGTCAAAACTACAATGGTTTTTGTAAAGTGCTAGTGTGCGATCATCGTATCATCGAAACCTAGTACGTTCTTGTTTTATATGAATAGGAATGTCTCAATGCAGAAATAATACAAAAACTACAATTACAAAGCCAGAATCATGTGAGAGGGAGATGAAAACACCTTTCACGGACACTACGCATGCCATTATATACATATTGGTTCAATTTAGACTTTTATTAAACATAGTTTTAATTAATTTGCTTTAATGAATTGCTTACGTTGTATTATACAAATATTAATGTTCAGAATTTTTTAATTACATTTTCGTCATTTGATGGCACTGCAACCCCCAGTTTGTTGGGTTAGCAACCATGAGGCCCAACCGGGTTCAGGACCAATGGAACCTTGGCGGGGCGCAAGGTTGCCAAGCACACAATCTCAAGCTGAGGGGGGGGGACTCCTCAATGCTTTCAAATAATCAAGTAATTTTACACCCAATAAATCATTATAATGATATTTAAACATTTTATAAAATTAACACTGTGAAACCACTACTTGAACACGAAAATGCTTGCTGTCCTTCAATGGACAAAATGCGAGGGAAAGGAACTTACAAAGAAGCTCTCGAGCTGGCAGGTAGATGTAGGACTACCCCGCGCGCCTGTATTACGTAATACAAAATTACGTCCGCGGCTTATTCAAAATTTAATATCCGGGCTATCTCATTCTGGATGCAATATATTGAAATTGAGAGATATTGTAATAGTTCATAGTCTCGCTCTTATAAAATCACAATATATTTTGCTCTGTGTTGGGCATGCCATTGAGACAGTTCAATATTTAGCTCCCTAAAATAATTATAATCCCATTTATGTCTCCCTATGTTGCCTAATTATTAAAGTTATTATTTATTACAATTTAATGGAGTGGCTAGCTTTAATTTTTATCAAGGTTTTGGGCGTTTGCGTACGTATTTCAGGATATTATCTTTGGAGTCGTGGGATAGAAAACATCGCGCATACGAGTATTCAGATGATGGTAATTTAAATTTGTTAGAAAATATTCTGTCTTTTATTCCTTTAACTAACCTTCATCAAAAATCTAACACCTTTTTAATTTGTCATGAACTTATCAGCGACATGAGGTGTCGGCTGAAAAATTAATTTATTTCAATATTATATTTCTTTTTAACATTTGACAATATCTCATATTTTCTCTACTTATTTTGATGGCCATTGAATATCTAATTTTTAAAAATGATAATTATTTTCTAACTTAATTTTTAACTTATAATTAAACATGTCTTGGCCTTGCTAAATTGTTTATAAAGTCTTTTTGCCACTTATCGTCTAATCTTTCCTTTACGAATATATTTCAGCAACCTTGCATTATGACGAGATCAGCGACTATTTCCATATGTCCATGCTGGAGTTCTTCCTATTACCACACTGAATTTACTTTTTAAATTATACTATAATTCACCATCTAACATTTTTACGAATGTTACTCATTCCTCGCCAATTCGTGTTAACTCACTTATTTCCCTATTCTCTAATAATTGTGGGCCACATGTCCATTTGCACACGCGCATTTTGACACGCCTGAGTATACGATAATATGCTTAACCTTTCTTATTTGTTGAAATGTGTTGCCAAAATAATTGTAAGTTTTTATAAACCGTTTTGTCAACCGCACGACATTTGAGATACATGGCGTTAAATTGAAGTTTGTAGAAATTGTGAAAGACGAAAACACATGTTCATAGTAGTGCCGGGAACGAACTTGTTATCTTGATAGACTGCTTTCGACTATGTTTTATGTAAATTAATGTACACTTGACTAACACTTTTAAAATAAAAATTTTGAAGTTTCTCTTTGCGTATCCAAATACGGAGACAGGCCCAATGGCTTCAGCCTACGTAAGTAACATAAACCATCCTTGAGTCTGTCCGATGCTTAATTTTCAGTTGCCATTTGACCTACGTAAAAGGAATGCCATTGCCATTCAAACTGCCTTAACACAATGCGCTCCATCCCGCCACTCGTTCTTCGCTTTTCTTTACCAACCTCGCGACGCCGGAGTTGAGTCATTTCGATAAGGGATACGACCCCTAAAGACAAAATTCGGACAAATTTAATTCCCTATAAATTCAATATGAAATATATTGTTGCTTAGGTGCGCACAATTCCCCATTTTCCCCTACTACACTGGCCAACAGTGAAAATATTTCTGGCTTGAAAACTACCATTTTGATTCATTTGTTGTTGGAAAAAACGAAAATAGCATTTAAAACTTTCAGTCATCTTTTGGTTCTTAGATATAGCCCATGTAAGATAGGAATTTTTACATTTAGCGCCTATAAATTGTGTTGGCTCATCTGAGCATAGCAGTATGGGTAATTTGTGTTACTTTAAATAGCTTCATGACTGCAGGGCGTGAAAAAAGAAGACTCAATGTACTAGAATACCACAACATCCAATCAGCCATTCGACCACATGAGCACGATTTGCCTGAACCACTCCTACCAGAAAAGTACACTCAACAGTCAGATGTAGACGAAGATTGTGAAAGGGAGAAACCATCTCATTCTTCACTTTCACATGATCAACTTTCCTGCATTCTCAGCTGGACACCTTCCCCGACAACTGCGGTGCTGGAAGTGACGAACCTAGAGAGCGATTCCATCAGAACATTTTTCAAATGGAACGAAGGTATAAGGTGATAAGAACACTGCTATGCTTGCGGACTACTGTTGGACTGTGATAAGAAAAGACAGAAAAGGAGTACAAGCGGCGAAGAAAGAGAAGACGTTCACGTGAATTTCTTTTATTTCAGGATAGTGAATCTATAAAACCAGAGTTAGTCGTACTAAACGATATCGAATGTCACATTCATTATCCTCGATCAAAAAGAAGGGTACTTTGGTTCTTTTCAGAAATTAAAGAGTTCCGAAAAATATTTTTAGTAATTTACATGAAATTAGAATATCTTAAAAACCAGAGCTAATAAAAAATATTGTCTTATTCGTTTTCCTCTACCACAAAATATCGTAGTTTTGATATTTTGAGAAAGAAAATAATTCCTAAGTGCATTTGTATTGAACAGCGATATCAGAGTATATCATTCAATTAATTAAAAGCTGCGTGATAACTCCACATTATTTAATCGATTTCGTGCACCTTGTTACTTTCAATATGGAATGTAGCTTAAACTAAAATTCTACGAAAGTACTAGCATCTCAGTATTTTCCGTTGATGTCCCCTCTAATTTTATGCGAAAAAGACATCGATTGTGAGAACGTTCCTCCAGCGATTGTAGCGGCAGTTCGGCGTGTAATCGGGTCGCCGGACAGAGAAACTGAAGGCCATTCGAAGTATGAACGCGCTCTTTTGTCGTGATCTTGCTTCGGTCGGTCCAGTTTCCAAACAGGAAAAATAATCGGATGTGATGAGGCTACAAGCTACGTGGAATCGGCTGAAATGAATGTTGTGATACGATTCGTTCATGCGTGAGGACACGCACGATTAGTTCACGACGGAGTATACTCGGAGAAAAAAAAGCTTGTGGGGCAAAGAGGAGGCAAACAGATGGAGACATTCCTGGAAAACGTTAAGAAAATAAACACACAAAATTATTTTAAGGTCTATTTGCATAAAAGCGTTGGCAATTATGCGCTCGTCAGGCTCAAGGATGTTTTATGTTACCGCGAGGGGTGAAGGCCCGAGCCTCGTCCTCAAGTTCAAACTGCATAATGAAGCGTCACTTTCCGCGCGATAGTGAGTCAGCCGCGCTCACCGTGGATCGCATAAAATGCGTTGGGAAGACTCAAGGATGTTTATGTTAACGCGAGGGCCGTAGACCTGAAGCTCGTTGTCAACTAGGAATTGTTTTAGCGAAGACTTTCACTTTACGCGGGAGAGTGCGTTGGCCGCGCAATGTGTGGCTGCGCCGCGAGTGACTCATTCTCCGAATTGTCAGCGCGTGTGAACGAATCACAGTATATATAGTAATTTCCGCAATTCTGCCCCTGGTAGGTATCAGCTGTGGATACTTTAATCCAATCGGGAGTTTAAACGTCACTACACTGACTCCCAGTTGCGGACATCGCAGTATACGTGCGTGAATGAATATCATAGACTGCATTTCTACTACGAACTTCTCAGGCCCTTGGCGGTTAGAGAAATTCAGATACTAGATAAAATCCGACGCCTTAGGAATACAGTTGTACCCAAATATGCACTTTGTATAATGCAAGATATTACAAGGGCTAAAATTACACACATTCCTAGCAAACAGAATGAAAATCACAAATATTAATAAAAAATGACTTTCTACATATCTCACCTCTCTCCGTGTTCCTTCAGGTGGTGCTCCTGGGGCTGGTGGCCTTGTCGGCGGCGCAGCACCTCCGCCCGGCGACCGCGGTGCGCCAGCAGCAGCCTGTCTTCCAGCTTCGCGTCGACGAGCCCTCCACACAAGCCACGCGCCCATCCGCGTGTGTGATCCCCCCCCCATCCCACGGCCCGCCACGCCAGGCCGACCGCAACTGCACCCGTGCCCGCCCCGCCTCGCCCCGCATAGCTTCTTCCCTGCGGCCCCCGCCCCCGCCACCACGCGCGCGCCCGTCGCCAAGGCCATCCCGGCGCCGCCGCCGCTGCTCGTGGCCGACGAGCCCCGTCCGCTGACCGTCGACCGCCGCCCGGCCGCCAAGGCCTTGCCCGTCGCCACCCGCTTCGAAAGCGACTCCGACAAGCACCTGCGCGAAAAGGACCAGCAGGAGCTCTTCCGCAAGCAGGCCGAATCCGCGCACTACGCCTTCGACTCCAGCGTTGACGACGGCATCATGGGCCACTCGCACGTGCGACAGGAAGTGCGCGACGGGCTCAAGCTGAGCGGCGCCTACTCCTACAGCGACGGATTCTACCGGCGCACCGTGCACTACGAGGCGGACGAGAACGGATACAGAGTCATCAAGTAAGTGCCACTTCCCATTTCGAAAGCGGCTCCGTAGCCCTACGTAAAATCATATTTTATTTCCGTAATTATGATCAATCCATTATTTTCTATTTTATTTGAGCTGGCAATCGTTTCACATTTACGGAAGGGGCTTTCTAAACTAACTAGTTAGCCTGTAAATGGTTGAACATGAAATCAATTTGTATTAATTAAATTAAAGTTGTAATTTAATTTTTTCAGTTGTTTATTCACTAGTAAAATATGCCATATGTAAATTAAAGAATTTAATGGGAAAGGGGGCCCAGAGCGGCCAAGAAATACATTTACCCCCTCTCGTTTTAAACTATGCGCTTATGCCCACGATGGAATTCTCCTCAATGTTGGATGTCTATAATACTGATAGGTATTATGTTTTGGCTAAATCAATATTATTACAGTTTTTTATATCAGCTCACTACTAAAACAACTTCAAGGTAATCTTCGGTACCAAATTGAGTATGTACGTAATTTTAAGCAAAAATTGAGTTAGGAACACAAGGGTTCAATTTCTTGCCAAACTGAAAATCCAGCTTTAACTCAAATTTTTCAGTTAAATGGTTGGTATTTTCTCCTTCAGATCTCCCAATGGAAGTTGTTCACATACTTCCTATGAGCTTACCGTGCTTTTGAACGTATTTAGATAGACCCATGATGCAAATAACATTTTATTTACATCATAGATTGACTGTTTGTAGAAATATCCAGTACTCCGATTTCCGACTTTCCTTTTGGTCCTACAAACAGGATGCCAGAAGAACGGTATTTAATGTTGCACACCTTCCAACATACAGCTAATAGGGACTGGAGAGTCTACGTGACGCGGCGTGCGACTTGAGTAAAAGGAATTTTTTAAAAAATGTCACAAAAGTATTAGTTGTAAGTTTTCATGAAAATACAAGGAAAATAATCTGCGGTGCACTGTTGCTAGAACCAAGAATAAATACAGAAAGTATTTCTAGGGCGGGATGTCGGTTTCACGAAAAATTATTCTTCTGGAGAATAGAAGTGGGTTCTTGAAATGGCGTCCACTGTCTTCATTAGAATAGTGCTTTCGGATGTGATGTTTTCAGTTGGTGATATATGCATTAAATACTCTCCCTCCCCTATGCCTTGGAGCCTGTCCCTTGCCAGACTGCTGTCCCAATCCTGTTCTCATGAGATTTCAATTATTGAACATGATAAATAAAACAAATAAAAACAAATAATTCATCCTGAATTGTCTGTCAAGCATTTCAAAGTAAAATATTTTTTTAGTATTTTCTAATATGGGTTTATCACAACAATAATATTGGAAAATCCTTGGAAGATAACCTAAAATAATGAAATGTCTACCATTTATCAAAGCATGCATACCTGCCTGCAAGTAAAATAATTACTGTTATTTGATATTTCCTTTATTTAAATTGTATTCTGACATTTTTTTTTAGAATCAGAGGGTGGAAAATTTTGTGAATCAAAAACATTCTTCAATATTTGAAATAACAATTTCCGTTTAATACATATCACAACATACATAAATTCTATATAAATATGATTTATGGCATTAATAACCATACTGTTCCTCATTCTCTTTCCTCTTGTAAAAATCTAATCATATAAATTAGTTCTGAAATTTAATCCTTTGATACAATAAGTTATTCTCTTTCTTGTACATTTTCTGCCATGCAAATTAAATCAGCTAAAAGCTGTAAAGAAATGTCATTTTTATAAAATATTGAAGTTACTCCTCAACTTTCAATTTTACTTGGTTAACATCCCAAAACTGTTGTTTACAATTACAATACTGTTTGAATTATAATTTCATTATGTTTGAATACATGATTTTTAGAAAAACATCTTTCCATATTTATAAAAATGATTGAAAATAGTGAATGATGTTTTTATAATAACACAACCATTATTTTCAAAATATGTATAAGTTTCCTCCATGTTTCTTACCCATTTGAAATGTCTGTCTGCAGGCAGGAAAGCGAGCCCATTGGAGATGGTCCAGAACTGGATTTGCATGGAACTGCAAAAGTAAGCTCTAATGTTGCTGGTGTAACAAACCAATACGTTATAACAGCTGATGATATTTCTGAACTCCATGAAAAACACTGATCTCTCTTAAATTTTTGCCTTGTGCACTTTACGGTTTTCCTAATAATTCTCTGATTAATAGATATCTCCATTATATTTGATTCAAAATAATTTTTTTTCATTTCATACTATTTATGTAATGAGATTTAATCCCACACAGTAATTGAGCAATGAAGACATAATACCCCTTCAAGATTAGTACCTGATGTGCTAAACAGGATTAAATTAAATTACAGTTTGAATATCTCTGTAATCACACAAATATTTTTTTTAAAGTTAAAGATGTAAAAATATTGTTAAATGAGAACCTACTTACATGCCAAATGTTGTTATAATTAAATTGACACAATTATTTTTGGATATATTTTTATAGGTACATACAATTTATTTTCTACTTTTGTAAATATTGTTGTATTATCTGCTTCAACAGATTATTTGTTATTCATACTACAAATACATAATAGTAATAAAACAAATGATTTGAAAAAGTTATGAGTTTTTTCAATTGTTGTACCACTTTTCTCAAGTCCTTCAAAACAATTATTTGCAACTAAAAAAAAAGTATTAAAATGTGAGCATACTCTATATTAGAGTTGCTAACTGGCAAGCCAAAATGCAGCCTGCAGCATCATTTATTATGACCCATGGAAGATTAGTCAAGTGGGAAAATCCTTTTCATTAATGTTGGGCTTGAACATCATGTGCCTAATGCATGTGCCCTGCCAGGATCAATACTCCTTACAGTAAAAATAGGTTAAGTTGGGATTTAAGATATTTTTACTAGTAAATTCAGACTTTCAAATCATCCCATTGTATTTCACTGCATTAAGCAAGGGGCTGATTGATATCACGCATGATAACATTACACACCCATTTCAGGGCAAACAATCAAGAACAACAATACAGGTAAGTCAGATGAGGATTGCCCGAATAATGAAAATATGCCCCTCAACCATATGAAAGGTTTTAACCATGACCCTTGTGGCCTTGCAAGTTGGGCACCCCTGCTCTTATTGTAAAATATTCTTGAATCGAGGCTAGAAATAATTTCCTAAAAATATAAATACATTTTGAAATGTTCTATTTCAATCACTCACTTCATTGGCTCATTTCACGGTGCACTGTTACTCTACATTCAAACTTTTTCTCATCAGGATCTTCGTTCTCTTCCTTTTGTGTTTGGTTACTATTGATATGAGTTTCAGCAGAGCTCACATTGTTGCTTTGTGCAAGAGTTCTTGCAGAGAAATCTAAATGTCCCATTACCTGAAAAAAGATATACTAGCATTTAGAAACAAATAAATGAGATATTTTATCATCTGTAATTCACAGAAAAATCACAGAATTTAGCAAACTTTTTTTATGTTATGGTCTTATTCCAGTTAAAATTATTACAATTATGCCTATGTTAATTACTGTTATTCTACAAACTGTTTTGCAAGAGGAAGTAATCCTAATTTCTGACATTTAATTTTGAAAGATATTATGGAAAAGCAAAATTTTTCTTAAAATGCCTATATTCCACCTCACCTGAATAACTGTATGCACCAATCGAGGAGTCTCAGGAGCTACTCCTTTATTGTTAATGATTATACTGGCTGCCATATCTTGCTCTTTGCTCAATTTTTCTCTTGCAGCATTTTCTCTCATGATTTTACTGAAAACAAAATTCATACATTTTGGAACATCTTTGAAAGAGTTCATTAAAAGCTTAAAATAATTTTCTGTCTTCCTTGACTTACTTTGCTTTCTTTTTCAAGATCTCCTGAGCTTCAGGGTAGTGGACTATGGCTTCATTTAGGTCATTCTTACTTAAAACAAAGAGGTTAGAGAAGCCCCGTGACCTGTTAAATGATTCATTCACCACTGATTGAAAATTGTCCTTTTGAAATCTTTTTGAATTACAGCAAATATTTAAACTTACCTGACTGTTGCTGTTCTTCGATTACCCCCTGAAAGTGCAAGAAGACTTATTTCCCCAAATACTGAACCCTCACTTAAAGTGGCCAACACCTCAGTATCTTCTTTACCTCCCATCACCTGAACTTGGCCCACTTTCACTATGTACATTTCTTTCCCAACTTCTCCCTGTGGAAATAAAAACAAGATATATTACCATTTGTATCTTATCATTTAGAATATTTACTTTTGTGAAGGGAGTGTCAGTTAAGAAAATACATTACAATACAGGAACACCTTTAGACTTGTTTTTTATGAGAACTTGTGCTTTGAAAACTCAGAGAAATTTTCATTAATTTTGAATAACATGTCTTGACCAATTAGGCTTTTTGAAAGAAAATTAGAAAGGAAAAATATTAAAATATTTGTAGTTAATTACAAGTTTTTAATAGGATCAAATTTGTTCAGACAAAATCTTCAATATTGACATAATTATTAAGTTACATTTATTTTTTAAGGTTTCAATTCACAATATTGTGATTTGAACTCTTTAAGTGAATCCCTTATTTTATTTTGATTTTGAGATTATTAAGTGTATTGACTTTTGTCATATACAGTTGCATTAAGGGACTTTTGTCATATACTACCAAAAATGTTTTAGATGATTTTGTACACAAAAGACTTCAAGTTTTGAGTTAAGTGCTTTGTTTTATAATTAACAAAATATTTTCTATAACATGGAAAATAATAAATAAAAATGTTAGCTGAACATTAAATACAATTATTCTTAAAGAACTTATAGCAACACGAGTAATGTGAAAAACACAATTTAGTGCATCTGCTACATACTTTGCGACAGATGCAATCTCCAGGAAGATAAATAATGGGTCGTAATTTCAATACTAGGTCCCGTAAAAGAGCTTCATCACAGTCATGGAAAAGTTGCACTTTGCACAATGTTTGAATGTGCACATTTATTGCTACATCCGTCTTTAATTTAGGTGGTAGTGAATTCAATATGCGACTCTCATCTGAAACGAACAATTTTTATTTCTATTGGCACTCAATGTATTGATTTTATAATATATGTATATAATGTATGAAATATTATGAGATACATTAAAGTATTATTAGTAAATGCCTTGGTTTAAAATTTTAAATCATTCACCATTTAAATCAATACCAATGTAAGTTTTTCTTACCTAAAGTATGCTGTTGTTCCCATGTAAAAACAAACCACATTTTCACTCTTTCTTGTAGTTTCTGTGGTAAGTTGAATCGTCTCATATATTTCAATGTGTCATCCAGTAGACGACGATATTCTGTTTGTGGTCGTGTTGCTGTTACTATTATATCTCTCATCTAGTGAAAATTGTAATGAAAAGTTTCAAAAATGAAAATGTGCAATGTGAAATTCTTGAATCATTTAATCAAATCTACATCATTGTTTTAAAAATGAAATATATGAAGATTAATAGATCAGAGAAAAATACAGATATTTTTGACTTCATTTGATATCTAAACAATGAAACTTTACAGGACATTGATCTTAAGTAAATAGTACAAGAACAGTGTTTTCAACCACTTTGTACAACAATTAGCATGTCTGTTTGGTTGTTTTCTGTGCTTACATTTTTGGAGCCAAATTAAGATTGTCATCATTAGCAGATGAATGTTGAATACTGACCTGACCGATAAGTAAAGCAAAGACAAATACACCCATGAGCCAGCTCCAAGTCATAAATAAAAATTCAATATTATTTGTTGGCTTTGGGTTCTTTCCTATTGATGTAGCAGTCTTTGTAGCAAAGTAAAAACATCTTATATACCTGAAAGGTAACATTCTTTTTGAGTTAGTGTGTACTGCAAGTTGGGAAGTTGTTTACATAAGAATGGAGCAAAATTAATGAATGTAGGTAAAAATTCTGGAAAAAAACTGCACTTTAAGGAACAGTTTGTAATATTGATTTTCAACATTCACTGTAACTCTTAAGTACAAAATATTCAATTACATTATACCATATTATCACTAAATATTTCAAATAAATTAATTTTTCAAAGTCGCATTACAGTTATTGTCACTTACGCATTGCCATTTCCATCAAACATCCATCCATTTGGCTCTGAATACCATGTTTTAGCTTCCCATGTTGAAACAGCATAATACGCACATGCATTAAGGTGAATGAGGTAAAGCATGTAGGTAAGAGTTCGAGCTATTCTCACAATATAGGGTGAGGATAATATGCTATCCAGTTGTTCAAAAAACTCCCAAAATGTTTGTATCTGCAAAGTAATAAGAAGAGAATTTCAACGTTTTTGTGCTGACTCTTTGTTACCATTATTTAACTGAAGAATAGAAACAAAGATGTTATTCCATCCACAAGTGATTTGTTTGAAATAAGATCGTGTTCTTGATTTAAATTATTTCCCTTTGAGAGGTCATGAAAGTCCACCTAACTTGGCAAAATTCCAGAAAGTGAAAATGGTGTGAGCTGTTTTTGAAAGGAAACACCTCTTATCTACAAGAAAACCAAGTAATCAGTAGATAATGAATTAAGTAATTAATTATTGTAGAACACGTTCTGAACATTTTAATTATCTTTTAATATTGTTGTTATTGGAAAATATATTTTTTGTAAGAAAACAGATTTCAAATCACCTGTAAATGGACATAGATGATAAAAGTCATAAAGGACAGAACTCTAAAATATTTGGTCAAAATAATAAAGAATAAACAAGGGATAAAAAGGATTAGAAGTCGAGAGGAAAATTGGAATTTACGTAATTCTTCATTACTATGTGGAGGAATTCTAGGTATAGAATCAGGTGATACTGTGATTAAGGTGGAACCATCATAAAACCAAACCATTTCATAAAATAAAAAATGACTGTACCTTTAACAAGCGAGGTAGACGCAAAAGGAGTTGACCTGTTCCAAACCTGAGGTAAAAGATGTCCAAGGGGAGCAAAGACAAGACATCCATCTGAAAAATATAGATTTATAATGGCAGAGTAAAAAATTACTACAGAAAAAGACAATACCTTTTTGTAAACACTTATGCAGAGCTAATGGTCTAGATTTTATATAAAGTTTGGTAAATGCTTGTTAAAAACAAAGCTTGAATTAAAAGAAAAATTTGATCTTTCGAATGACAATTGATGACATATAAACAATAAATGGGCAGACATCAAATTACATTCATTCTGTATAATTTTCTCTTCAGGCATCTGAAAATTTTGATACTTCTAAATCAAGATGTTACTCTTAGATTAAATATAATTTTTCATATCATGATCATGAATGAAATAGGGCGGAGTAGACAAAAAATCACCCTACAGTTTCATAGCATTCAAGTTACTATTTATTATGTAATTTTATGTCATGAAAATGCTAGGACACTATTTATTTCTAATATTTTTATTATCTAAAATGATATTTGATGACAATTAAAATATCCAAAACAAATTCTACAATAATTAATTTCTTAGTATATTGTGCATTGAATACTTGTTTTTCTTGAAGATAAGGGGTGTTTACTTTCAAAACCAGCTCACTACATTGAGAAAAGAAACAAATTAAATCTAATGGTGGTATTCTATTTAAAGTGTGATTAAAGTTCTTTTTTTATGAATATTTTATACATAATAAATTTTTAAGCATACTCATAATAACCACACATACAAATTTTACAATGTAGCACATGCAACAATTTTAAGAGATTAAGCTGTTCATCAATATTTCCCTTCTATCAACCCAAATATTTATAAATAAAGTTTCCTAGTTTTTTTCATTTCAGCATTTTTTATATGGAATGTTTATGAGTAGAGGTGGATTTTGATGACCTAAAACATGGCTAAAAATTATCAATTGCTTTTAAAATGCTTTAAAAATGCCCTAAAACAAAGAAAAATGATGTAAAAAGTTTGATCAAAACCACTTCGCAACAACTCAAGCTGCTGAATATGTTTCTAATGCACTCGAGGCCTTTTCCTCTTGTTCATTCAGCTTGCTAGCTTTGGGTTTGGACTGTTCTTTAAAAGAAAATCTGTCTTTATTTATTGTGAAATTGGTCAAACTGACAATGGCGCTGATAAATGTCACAGGAACCTTAGATTACCATAGTAATGACAAAAGCTGACATAAGAATATATGAGGGAAGAAATCAAATAAGCTACTCTGAAATTCTCTGGTAAACATTTGATGCATTTTGTAAATATTGTTTGAAGCAAGTACCATTAAAATTATATTAAAATCGATGAAATCAGCATAAAATGCAGTAAAAATGATGTAAAAAGGTAAAAATTGATTGAAATAAAGGAAAAATGCACAAAAATTAGTCATTTTGTTTTGTCATGTTATAAAGTGAATTTCTGTACTAAACATCATTGTTCTAAAGTGAAAAGAAAAAAATGACATTTCATTAAAATCAGCCTCCTATTTATGAGTTTGTGAGTGTTACAGAATTTTATTTATTTATTGTACAGAATATCTGAAAGGGAAAACATTGCTAAAGAACCAATGAAAGACATCTTTAATAATATTTGGCATAACAAGTAGATATTTTGCAAAGAATCTATGAAGGAAGAAAATGTTAAACCTGTTCTTTAAATATTAGAAAATTGTTTAAATAATGGTCAAATAGAATACTGATATTTACTGATTTAAAATGTACAAAAATATGATCTGTTTGTACAGTAACATGAAAAATATTTTAAATTTTAAATGCTCGATGAACTAAAATATGAAGAATGTTACAAGTACGAAAGCATGCATTTATATTTTTAATAGTTCATAATAAATGCAATACAGAGCTTCTACAAAGATTCAAATATCAAAATACAAATGGAAATATATCTGAAGAAATAACAACAAATGTAGGACCATGCCAGGGATGCTCATTATCACCTATCCTATTTTAACTTACCATGAAAATGACCAAGACCTGGAAGAAGGAAATAGAAGAAGGCATCGCTCTGAAGGAGGACCAGAAAATAAAAATAATTCTAACCTTTATGCAGACGACCAAGCAATACTATTGCAACTTCTGAAGATGAATTACAAAGGGCAGCTCATTAATTAAATGAACTCATAAAGAAATATAAAATGAAAATATCACATTCAAAGATGAGTCCATGGGATAGGTATGTAAAGAAAATAGCTGAACAAAAATAGCCATAGAAAATAACAGTAGAACAAGTGCCAATGTTCACTTCTGGAATAGATTGATTGGATTCCATATCATTAATAGAAGAAGATATGGAATTAAAATTAACAAAGTACAACAAAATAAATGGATGTATCAAAACACCTTCCAAAATATGAACACTGAGACAAAAATTTTATTACCTAATGTTGCAAAACCCACTATATTTTACGGTAGTGACAGTAGCGTAATGAAATGGGTATGCGCTGACATGCAAAACATTTATCTGGGTCCCCTTTATAAAAGTGCAAAGCTAACACGAGCAATCTTAGTATCTTAAATATTATAAAATATACCCTAAAAATGGGCCCTCTTTTACCCAGACCCATCAGCATTGTGGTCTTTGCGGGCCAGAACGTTACAACACTGGGTAGTGAAACATGGATTCTGAAGCAAGAGACAAAAAAATAATTGAGGCTACACAAATGATACATCTGAGATGAATTTTAAAAGTTTCAAGGAGAGATAGGGTAAGAAAGAATAATCCAGAAAACATTTAAAAACAAAAATATTGTTTTAGAAATTGGAATCTACCAAAAGAAATGGGAAGAACACTCACCAAATGAATGAAGATAGAACATTTCCCATAAAAAGTCCTCCCATACCAGCCAAGACGAAGAAGAGACCCAGACAATGCGCTCGGTAGATCAAGAACACCTTGGAAGCAACAGAGCGAATACTGATAAATCGAGGAACAGGTCAACAGACCTAAACCTTAAACTTTCATGATGATGATTCCAAACTTTCTCGCCCGTACTTTAACGCAAAATTACGCGAAAAGAACTCAAATGTTCGAAAAATTGCACATGTCCATATTGCAAAATATATCTTAACGAAACAAATTTCATTATGGGAAAAATCTCTATCTTCATAATTGTAGTTTTAGTTAGTAGAGGGAGATGTTCATAATTGAGAATTCCAGTGGCAAAACTCTAGAGTACAAAACTAAAATTTTTGTATTTTTCTGGGACCTACATAAAATTGCCAAGCTAATGGTGCGGATGTGGGTGCCTTAGCAAAGAGTTTCTGGCTTGTCATGTAATATTTCTATAATCTGAAAACGTGAACATTGAACATTTTGACTTTAGTATCTGCCTTTAATCCCTTTCAGGAAATAGTCAACTATATACATAAGAATCTAACATATTTTTTAAATTACTAATTTATTAAATATTATATTTAAAAATACTAAAATCTAGTATTATGATATAATTTCTACAGACATGTTCTCAGAAACTTCTACTGAGTTTTTCTCCAACATTGTCCAGATTATGTAGTTAATTTTTATGTTAATATCATGAACAAAAGATTTTAATCTATTAGAGAACTTTAATATGACCTGTGCTGTTTTCCTTCATAAAATAAATATGTTATCACAGTGAAGAGAAATTAACTTATGATCTAAAAACTAAAATAAAAGTACACTTATTGTGAATTATTGATGTGTTATATACCTTTTCTCTTAACTCTGCAATTCCCTTTGTATATATGGGAGATTTTGATTTGCTGTTCTCAATAGCACTTATTTATCCATCATCATAATCTTTAAGCAGATTATTATCTTAATCAATCCTATGGTTCTACCCCTCTCAATAAGGTTTTTGTCCAGTTTTCCTGATTGATTGAGCAAATACTGAGATGGGCCCTTGTTTTGCACATGGACATAAAAGCTTCATTATGCACATATTATGTTGAACTCTCCTTTTGCTTGTAGTGGTAGGAGTAGATCTGGAGGTGAGTTACAGATTGTTAGGTATGTAGAAAATTAAATCTGATGTTCGTATACTAATGCAAATAAATTTCCTATAACTCAGAAACAAAAATTTCCTATTACACTGGAACTAGTTTCTACAAATGTTGCTATTTTCACAATTTTTAAAATTTTATTATTATTTATTTTTAAAACTATTATTCATTTTTCAACTATTTATAGTTAAAATGTTGGAAAGGCATTCTGGAACTCAAGAAAACATGCGCAGCTGACCTCCCCTATACATCATATACAGTCTTTACTGTTTTTTGACTAAATAAATCAAATCAAATGATTTTTGTTTTATGGGGGTGTCATATGGAGGTGACATTGGGCATTGAGGGCCCAATGGACTTTAATCAAATGGACTTTAATTTAGTGGTTCCTTTTACAAAGGAAAATAAGAAACGAACACAAGAATACAAAAACAATTAAACAATATGTATTATCGTAGGGAGTTAGCAGTGATCTAAGTACTGCAGAGACGGATCCATGTGGAGCCTGTCTTACATCTAAGGACTTTTCAGTTCGAGCACTGAAACTTATTTTTAACATATTTTTTAAATGTAAAATTTATTAATTTAATACATTGTCACACATTAAGTTACTAGCTGGGTGCATGTGAGCATTCTGCACTTGGTAAATTATTGTTTTAAAACTGAAAATATCTTCATATTCAACTCCAACATCCAATGGTCAGCCCTAGAACTGTATTGAAAGTATATAGGCCTGTTCTCAAAAAATATTTAATTTCTTTACCAAAATATTAATTACATTTACACAACAACAACAAAACAACAACACAACACAACAACAAATAATAATAATATAATAATATAATAATAATAATAATAATAATATAATATATAATAATATTTAATCCCCTTATAATGGTCTCTTTAATCAAATTTGAAAGATTTCTATATCAAAAGCTTCAAATCCCAACCGATCGTTCACGTGTCTAGATTCTATATCCCGACCTAACGTTTGCATATCCCATTTCGTGATCTAGCGTTGTCTCAGAATAAATTTTGCAAACTTCTAGTGCATGTCAAGAGGGCGAAACTGATAACTTTTCGCCGATGAGCACATTGTGAGAATTCTCACGGAACGTTATTACACAAATGGCATTTTCTCCTGATTACTAGGCAACCATGTACGCACAGATGTACGGCAGGTACATGGAATCTCCTTGACTGTGGCAGAACGTGACCTGGTAAAACACGTGTGCATTAGGAGCTGACTGACAACCGGCGGTATGTGTCAAAAATATGTAACTCCGTTGCATGAAGTTTCCCACTGCACTTTCATTGGAAAAAAGGGATCGTGTAAACGTAGGCTTCGTGCTTCTTGTGTCATAAAATTTCAAGACCAAGAAGTTCTCGAATTTTCGGTACAAAAGGGCACGTCTCCTGTGCCAACTGGACTTCCTACTGAGGTGTGTGGAGGAAGACGCGCTCTCGGACCAGACGAGCAGCACTGTGGTGTTCTAGCTCTGAGGAAGCCTGCAATATTACACGCGAACCGACGGCCTCTCAGCCTGTGACACTGCGTCGCCCGGACAACGAAGAACTAGTGGTGCTAAACAGCACAAACTTTCTCGCCCGTACTTTAACGCAAAATTACGCGAAAAGAACTCAAATGTTCGAAAAATTGCACATGTCCATATTGCAAAATATATCTTTACGAAACAGATTTCATTATGGGAAAAATCTCTATCTTCATAATTGTAGTTTTAGGAAGATGCTAAAAAATTAAAATTTTTTGCAAGTATCGAAAAATCAGTTTTCAACGAAAATGATACCTGCACCATTCTCTTGGACGTCATTCACAATATCCCACAACAAAATTATTCAAAATCGATGGAGCCATTTTTTTGAAACTTTTGAAAATGTCCCAGATGCACTATGTAATAATGTACCCATAACTTAAAGAAATATCGATTTCAAATTCAAGGAGCCGCAATATCGACCAGTTCGATTCGGGAATATCAATCTTGGAGTAAATAGGCTGAATTGTTTAGCCACTAGCATTGTTCACGGACGGACGGACGGACGGACGGATAGACACTTAATTGTCATTCGATTTTTCCACATAATATGGACACCACGTGTTAGAAGATTCCCCCCACAAATTTAGCAACTAGATTTATTTACTTTTTGTTACTAGGGCCCTGTAGTAAAAGTTGTGTTTTGCCGAAAATACGCTGTTTTTTCGCGCAACATTACCTAACTTACTTTCTCTTCCGTAGCGGGAAAGAAAAAAAGGATAATTTTTGATCACTCTACATGATTTAGTTTGTGACAGTTATTATGAGACATTTCAAGAAACAACCTCCAATTATTTGTGTGCAATGATATCTATCGACTTTGAGTCGCTTTCGAATACCTTCCTGTCACGAATTACCTTGAACTGCCATTTGGCGAGATAGCGCTTGCGCGTCATGGCGAGGTCCTGCACCCAGAAGCCCTCGAACAAGTAGACGAGTCGCGGCTTGAAGAGGAGGACGTCCAGGATGTAGACGGCGTCGGCCGTGTAGTCCAGGGCGAGCCACGTGGCGGTGTTATTGGGCGTCTGGTACGGGAACGCGCACCGCAGCGGAATCACCCAGCAGTTGTACATGTAGCACAGGCTCACCACGAACAGCCACGACATGTAAATAGAACCTGCGCAAGGGAGAATAAATTGAATCGAGCCATGTTTTTAATCTTGTGGACCTTCAGTTTTGCTGTTGAAAATTACTTTTTTAAAGATTTTACCAGGGATGAAATATTTAATTAATAGGAATGTAGCTCAATCATGCTAACTCTGAGGTATCATTTCAATTCAGTTCATTATTTAATTTTGTTAGAAGCCGATTTATTTATAATTATCAATATTTATACGTTCATTACTATGTCTTCGAATAAGTTAATCTACTAATGAGTTGTAGGTGAAGGCTTATTGCACTTTTATTTCAATGTAGTGCTTAGCTGTTACATAGTGTCTTCACTTCTTATTATCGACGAGAAAGCGTTGAAATTCCAATTTTTCATACTGTTTTTTTACAGCATTATTTTCTATTTTACGTATTGTTAATTTGAGATTCAAAAAGCAAACAAATAGGAACATTTTATTTCATTTTACAAGCAATAGGAACTATGAAAAATTCACACTGCGAGCAATAGCCGCTTATTAGAGCTAGGTAAATGAATATGGGACATTTTAAATATAGTTCATGGAAATTGAATTTGTGAATTAATTGATTGTTAAAATTGTAAAAAAGATATATACGATTCATATCTGTAAAACTTAAAAAAATTATTTAATGATTTAAATATAAGTTTTTTAATAATTAATTTCAAAAGCCGACCTCGGCAGCCGAGGTCGTTGAGACGAGAGCTAAGAAACTATTTCAACTCAAAGGGTCACTGGTTCGAACGCGAACTCGAGTATACATATTTGTGTGTATGTACCCATACACTGTATATGTGCTACTACGACGTGAATGTATAAACTGTGATGACACAATAAAACTCCCTATACAATATACTTAGCTTAAATATAATATTATTTTGTGTTTCCATGCGCGTCAAATACTATGATTTTTATTTCTTTAAATATAGTGCGCTTCATGGACACAATATTTGATGATAGGCTGATTATCGACGCTGGGACATGTATCATCCTTCAATACAAGGTCTACCCCCACCAAACCCAGATATTTATTAACGTTTTCCATCTTTTCCCAGTGCCATCACATTCCATGCAATTTCCAGAAACACAACAATCTTGTCCTAAAGCGCCAGCGCCGCTCGTAATCCTGCCTTGCACTAGACGTAAATTTGTTGCCACTGCATTGTTTCAACAGGCATCTAAGCAATGGCCACCCATTTACAAGCAGTGCAACCCAGGCTCGATCTTTGTAACTTAAAACGAGGCACTCACGGTTTGCCAGTGAGCTTTGGCTCACTTGACCTACATTGAGTCGGTGGTAAATCTGTCGCATAGGCTTAGTCATAAAGATAGGCATCCATGGGCAAGCTTCACTCGAAGAGCCATTCTCGCGTCGGTTGTAAATCTGTTGTCACTGCATTGTTTCCACTTCGGGGAACTATGTGACTGCCACAAATTTACTATCGGCGGAAGCCAGTCTCGAGATTAGTGCCTTAAATCTAGACACTCATGGGTAAGGCTCACTTGACTTGCCTTGAGCTTGTGGCAAATCTGTTGTCCCCGTATAAGAGCTAGGCTAGATCGTACATGCATACCTTAAAATAAACCACGATGAATCTCGCCTCGCGACGTTGCAAATCTGTCCCCCGGGGATCATTATTCGTTCAGACGAGAACAACCGCGCTGTGGCGGACGTTTCGCAGGCGACCGAAGCCGGCTGGCGAGCCGGCTGGCGAGCCGGGCTGGCGAGCCGGGCTGCGCGGCCGGGCTGGCAGCCGGCTGGCGAGCCGCGGGCCGGAGCCGGGCTGCGACCGGGCTGCAGCCGGCTGGCGAGCCGGCTGCGAGCCGGCTGGCGAGCCGGGCGGCGAGCGGCTGGCGAGCCGGCTGCGAGTCGCAGCTGGCGTGCCGAGCTGGACCGAGCCTCCGAGCTGGCGAGCGAGCTGCGGAGCCAAGTGGGAGGAGCTGGCAGCCAGCTCGTGCCGAGCGGAGTGCCGAGCGCGTGCCAGCTGCGAGCCGAGCTGGGCGGCGCGAGCTGGCGAGCGAGCTGAGCGAGCCGAGCTGCGAGCCTGGGCTGGCGAGCGGGCTGGCGGCGGCTGGCGTGCCGGCTGGACGTGCCGGCTGGCGTGCCGGCTGGCGTGCGCTGCGCGTGCCGGCTGGCGAGCCGGCTGCAGGAAGCCGGGTGCGCTGGTGCTGTACCTTGCGGTCGGGCGGCGGAGCAGAGAGCTGCTTGGCGGGCGCGGGGTGCGCGGACGGCCGGCCGGGGCACAGGGTCGACCACGCGGCCGCGCGCACCGTGTCGGTGCTGAGCTGCGCCGCGGCGGGCGACGGCGGCGGCGGAGGCTGCGCACTCGCCTCGTTGCCTGCGCACGCACGAGCTTGCATTGATTGATTGAATCAAGAGATGGATATTTCATGTCGTATTTCACGTTGCTGAAATATCATTATGTGCTCGTCCGTGGTAATTATACACTCGCGCTAACGCGCTCGTGAATAGTGACAATTTGGCAATTTGAGTCCACTGTCCGACTTTGTCGACTAGCTAACGGTGCCCCCATAGCTGGATCTCAAGAGAGACATGTGGCGAACATTATGTATTCCCTTTTCCATAACTAGCAAACTCCGTCTGTCCGAGCGTTTCTTCATCACCCAGTTACAGAAACTGAGACGATTTTAAAGGAAAGGTACAACTATATTTTTGCCTTGAGCGAAAATCAAACCCGGTTTCACATCACGAGAAGCTAGTGCGCTACATATGAGCCATTCTATAAGTGAATTATTAACTAACTTGCACATAATGATCTATGTCAGAAACATAAAATACAATACTATTACTACATAAGTCGGAAGAAGATTAAAGGCTTTCCAAACAAATTTTTAAAGAACTTTACTGTATCTAACCTTGAGAGACAGTGTTTCAAACGAAGACATAAGGTCATTAAAGGTCGTTACATTAGGTCGTTAAACATTGGTAGTATTAAGTAAATAAATTAAAGTAGATATAACAGTAAGTAAATTAATTAAAAAGTACCGATATAAATGGTTCCAACATGTAAACAGAATGGAGCTAAATAGTCTACCAAAGTTAGCTCTCTTATATAAACCTAGGGTCTCGATAGTTGTGGACAGACCTAGAATGAGGAGGTCAGAGCAGTTTTGAGTCTCGGAACGTGCCATTGTCTCCCAACCCTTGTCAAGGAACAAGACATACGACGGTCTCCCTTAGACGGACCCCTGCCCTCTACAGGGGCGGGGAGCGGGCGCACCTGGGTCGCTGGCCTCGGGCGAGGGCGTGGGCGGCAGCTCGAGGCGGCGGCGGAAGCGGTGCGCGCGCTCGGCGAAGGCCCGCACCAAGTCGCGGATGCGCTGCTGGATGAAGGCGAAGCCCTCCGAGTGCAGGCTGCGCACACACACACAACGCCCATTGCCAAACCCCTGGCTAAGGTGGCTCAGGGCATCAACTTATGGCACTGCAGTGCCTCCTGGGGCACGAGAACTGACGGTGGCGGGAGTTTCGACACTGGGTAGGTAGCTAGGTCAACCTCAGCAGCTGTCTTGAGGAGAATTCTAGTAATCGGCTGCACTGATCAATAGTTTTTCGTGGTTTATCCGATCAATACCTTCGGACCACGGACCACGCGCGATCTTTCATTCCTGTGCCTTTTCCTATCCTCACCCCTTCCTTACACACACTCACATGCACTACACTACCACACTTGTTGGGAGACCTCGGGAGTTTAGAGCTTGACCCGGCTGGGGCGGAGCCCCGCTGGTGGGAGATACCTGGATCGCAAAAATTGCCGCAAGCTGACGGGTAGATCGGTACCGGAAAATGTCTACCAGAAAAAATATACAGCATGTGTTGTACACCTGATTTACACTTATCTACAACGTATTTACACGTATGTTAATCCCTGTCTAAGGCAACTCTTACGTTGACCACTAAAGATACAATTGTGCTCAAGAGAAAATAACAGAAAACATATTTCCAGTAAGCAAAACAGTACTAATTTATGAAATCAGATGAAAAGCTCGGTATTTTTAGCTTAGTTAATAGCCACGGACTCTGCCGAACTAAACCCTAAGAGCAATATGCTGCCCCTACACAACACCCAGTACCCTCACTTTTCCTTAAACTTCCAGTCCCTTGCATTGATCAGTTACGAACGGACTACAGCTAATCCACGACACGACCCATTCTAAAAAATGCGCATTTCGCTTAATCGGGACATTTAAATCTAAATTCGTCATAAGAAACTGAGATGGTGGTTTGCTCAAATTAAACGAGTCGATCTATTGCAAGTTTAATTTCTTACAAATTTCAAAGGTGGGCTTTTCTGGGGAGGGTGCCGCCCTAGAGCCTTTAAGGAGCAGTCGTGAGTGCACTCACATGTTGTGCAGCTCGCTGCTGGTGGTGCTGGGCGCGGAGCGGTGGAAGGAGCCCACCGACTGCACCGACTCGGCGCGCGCGGGGGCGGAGCGCGCCTCCTCCAGCGCCGCCAGCGGCGCCCCCGCCCCCGCCTCCGCCTCCCGCGCCGCCGCACCGCCTGCGCCGTCGTCGCTGCACCCGTTGTCCGACGACCGGCAGGCCCGCCCGCCGCTCAACGCTGCAAGCAAACACATACAGATCAGTTTCTTCTTCCTTTCTGGGGCTTTTTCCAGCTTCAGGAGATGTCGATTTCCACTACGAGGTACGGTACCCACAATGTCCCTCATGGGGACACGTATTAACCTTTACACTAGTCACTGACACACCCGCGGGCTCCTCGGTCTGTGTAGGTAGACCTGTAATGTCTTCCGCGCCAACACATACTGAAAGGGAAAGAACAAACAACCATGCCCACGGCGGGACTCGAACCTGTGGCCCTTCAGACCAAGGCGCTGAACGCCGAGACGCTCTGGTGTTCGCGGCCATCCACGTCGGCAAACACATCCGCAAATCCAGATCATGGCGGAAAGATAAAGGTAAACTACTGAGCATCGTATCCTACTTCAGTCAATGAGACTCAGGCACCAGCTTGCGTCACAAAATTAGCGGGAATTTTAAATGCAACCAGGAACCAAAATTATCACCTTGTTAGAAGTCACTGAACCAGCTACAAGAAGCTCTTTTTTAAATATTGTATCATGTATTTCAATTATACATTTGTGTTATTTTTCGTCACATTAAGGCTCCGTGGAAGATCCTCTGCATACGCGGAATATCCGCAGCGGAAATTTCGCGTCCCGTGGTGGCTTACGAGACGTTCAGACCTGCGCGGCAGGCGAGCGTCGCGGCAACGGATTGGCCGAATTTAATCCGCGGCGGATTTTGTTTCGCCAACGGAAGCATTTTTTCCGGTGCTGCTCAAGTTTCACTGTGGAAAGCAGGCAAAGACTCGTCAGAAGTCTAATCTTTTCAGCTCTCCAGTGAATCTGCCGCGACTGAACCATAAGAAAAAAGACTTCTAGTCGTGTTGAGTAATTTAATTAATTTAAAATAACATTAAACTTGGATTCTTTGTATTGTTGTTCTTAAAATTTTGTACATTTTAGTAATGAAAAGTTTCAATAGATTTATAATCCTATTCGTCCTTCAGGTGAGATAACTTCATGATTTTTAAGTGTCAGATTTTGTTATGTCTTCCGCGTGGAGATTCATAATTTCATGAAAACAGCCACTGGTCATTCTAATAAATATTAAAGCATTTCTTCCTTTGAGGCATCAAGTTATGAAATTCTCCATACTCTTTCCTTTCTAGGTCAAAATCATGTTCCCCTTTTCTTCGTTTCCTGAAGAGATATTTAAAATTAGATTGAAAATCGTAGATAAAGAAGGTAAAAACATCGTACCGCATCTGCTCAGAAAACGTACTACCAGAACTGACATTTTCTACCTCGTACATGAATAGATGGGAGCGCGTTTGACTTATCGGAACTGTAACCAAACGCTGAGTCATAATTGTCGCTGCGGTGCAAACGGACCTGAGAATTTCGTCGCCACGTCTAGCGCGGAACATTCCGCGCCGCACCCACTGCGGATCTTCCGCGCCGTACTGTGGGAGCCTTTATGCCACTTGAAATGTTTCTCAACGTTTCTCACTCTCCATGCAACATGGCGGCCAGCGTCTGATCTGAATTTTCAAACTTAGTACCGTGTTGTGGTCTCGTGGTTCGTGACGTAAACTGGTGCTGTGCAGAACGGGCAAAAATCGATGCGCCGGACTAGCTCACTATCTTTTTCCATCATGATCCAGATTGATTGGTTGATAGCTGTTTCTGGGCACATCAACTGGCATGGTCGTGAGTGCTGTTACTGTACTGAATGTTTTTCAGGAGTAATTCCTTCACCTGTGAGATCCGGCACCTCTCTAATACGTTGTCATAACTCAGAGAAGAATAGCAACCATAATCGGAATTTCACCAGAACGCGTGGGTGACTCTATCGATTTGCTTGGCTATCGGAAGATCTGTACACGATGGGATGGGATCTAGGCAGTGTGCACCCAGAAAGGACGACTGACAGGGGTCCGAAAGGAAAATCAAAATGTGTTTCTGCAGCATGACAATGCCAGACCACACACTTTACTTTGTTCTACAGCCGAACTTCAGATACCGTATCTCCACCATACGTCCCCCTCCGTACAGCCCAGTTTTGGCGCTGTCTGACTTCCTTCTGTGCCCAATAATGAAACAAGATCTGCAAGGATATCATTACGCTTCCGATGAAGTTGAGAGAACTGTGGAACGCTGCGCTGGTTGAAGAAACAAGTGTCGACGTCTTCCATGTCGGCTTCAGAAAACGTGTCCATCGTTCGCAAAATATATCCATATGTCTGGTGATTATGTGCGAAGAGGGAATATCGGTAATTAAAGAACATAGAATAGGATTGTTTCTGTGTTTGATTTTGTTAAAATAGTCCCATCCAAACCAAGTTACAAAGGTGGAGGCATTACTTTCTCCTCCAACCCTCGTTAGGTACAGTTTCGCCGTGCCGCCGCCGCCCGATCCCCACGAGGAAGCTCAGAGAGATGCGCGCGCGTCGCGTGAGGTGAAGCCAGCCGGCCGCGAGACAGCGCCCGGCGAGTATGCGGCGCACGTGCGCAGCGGCGCTTGTTGCCCAACGAGCGCAGGCACGCGCTGGGGCGGCGAGGCGCGCTCCGAGACGGGGCGCGCGGCGGCGGCGGCGCGCAGTAACGGTGCAGGTGCAGACCATGGGCAGGTGAATTGAATTGAATTGAATTGAATTGAATTTCTTATTTTACGTGGCGAGACTCGGGCCATCAGGCGCCTCTTCCTTCTGGCACGCAAATTCGCTACGCTCCTTTCATCTAGCAGAGAA